AAACACATACAATACAATCTGAAGATGTGAAGTCATTGTTGTCAGCTTCTATATTTTTTTTCACCTGAAGAGTATGAATGTTTTCAGTATTATAGTGTTCAGTATTTATGCATTGAGTCAAAGCTGCAGAACTTAAATATCAAAGCATGTGAGGAAATCTCTGATCTTTACATCAAAGTCCACTGAACAGAAAAGGCCCTCTTTGCAGCAATGAATGTCAGTGAAGGTCACGCAGCTTTCACCTTTATTTAGATAAGCAAAAGTATCGACGTGTGGAAAAATCCAGTGTGAGTTGCATCTGAGGCCAAATGTAGAAAGTTTTAAGAAAATGTGTTCTATATAGATCTGGTACCTAATGACCATAAAAAGAGGATTTTTCCATCTCAAACTGTTTTGTAAGAAATGTCTGCCTGCATTGATCCAAACCAGAATATATGGGATGCCCACTCATTGTTTCTTAGGTACAAGTACATTCGGTCTATATTCTCTACTGCTAGTTTGCTCTTTGCATGAACTCAAGAATCTTGAATATGACTAACATTATGGGAAGGCATGAGCAAAAATAAGGATGATGCAGGCAACTAACCATCAACTCAAAAGAATAGCTAGGACAACAAGTAGCCATTATTACTTGAGTATCACCTCCAAGCTTCCCACTGAGGATCAATAAGTATGATTTATTAAGGTAAGGCCACAGAGTATGATAGTATGATTTATATGAGGAAGTATGATTTATTAAGGTAAGGCCACAGAGTCATAAACATAACTCTAACATGAATTAATACCTGCACCCAAACTTTAGATTCTTAAAAACAAAGCAGTACAAACCCTGGAGATCACAAATCTGTGTTACTAAGTAGAAGTCATCACACAAATTCTGATATTGCCAAGCTCCTCAGAACTAAAACCCTTCGGGAGTACCAGACTTTCAAGATGGTTCCCCAGCAACTGTTCCAAATCCAAAAAAAGGGAAGCATAAGCATTTCATGTCTTGCCAGACCATGGCACAGAACACAAAATGTTGTTGCATGTAGCCCTGCGCACCAAAAACAGTCCAGGGCTTAGCACAGGTTACTCCCGAAGTACGTTTCATTCTTCAGCTTTATCATCTGCATTTCCTTTGATCATTGAGCCTCAAGAGTTGTAACAACTTACTAAAAGGAAGGGAAGTAGGAAATATCATGCTTTTCAACCGTCTGCTAGAACATGGAATAAATACATAGATATGAAAATATTCCCCCTTCTGTGTGACAGTCTTCAGTCTTGCTGAACAAATTTAAAGTTCTTGCAGATTTAGTCAATGAAAAGCCAAAGCAGCATTCCCAAGTTTGCAATCAATAGCCAGAATAAACAGAAATGTAGATTAAAAGCTATATTATAGTTTTCCTCCATCTTTATTTCCCCCAAAACTCTCATGTAATCCCTGTTGTATGAACCATATGTACGAAAAATTTATAAAATGGCAGAATTTGACTTAATGTCATTTAGCCTGTAACAAGACGAGTTAATACAAATCTGTGATGGTGTAAGCCAACTAGTTAGCCCTTGACTATTCTCCAGCAAACATGGCTACTTTTCTTCCATTAGTCTTCACTTTTCCAATGAGTAATAAAAGGGAAAACTGCAATGTTATAACTTCATTTAGAGGACAGCATTTATACAAACCAGCTCTCTCTTCGTGAACTGCACAGCCCCAAGTATACAGTGCCACAGGGTGGTGGTCAGGGTGAATGAGCTAATTTACAATTAAGTTGTCAGGTTTAGACTTACTTTGTATTCCTAGACTAACAGTAATCCCTTTGTTTTGCTTCAATATTTTAACATGTTATATCACAAAATTAGGTGAATGATGCCTGAACGGACGTATTTATATTCCAAAAAGCCTGATGATGGAATAGGAACAAGTCAAAGTTAATTGGTAAGAAACTTCTTATTATCACTACTCATGAGAAGTCATTGAATAGAGTATCTCAAGTGACTTATCTTTCCAACCAGTGTTTCTTCAAAATGAGCCTTCAGCATAGAATAATGGCCCCAACTGAGTGATAACAAATAGCCAAACATAAAAAGTCATAAGCCTTATAAACACATGAAATAATTTGATACTTCTTTAGTTTAAAATACAAACTCTACTTTGATTTTGTATTAAACCAGTTCTACTGAAAAAGCTCTTCCCATTTTTAAAGAATAGTGCCTTAAGATTGCCTACTTACCTGAAGAACAAGGTAGGTGAAACATTAAGTATTCACCATAGAGTCTCAAGTACCCTTTTTTTCATTCTTGTTCTCTCTCCAGATGTACTAAAACCATATACTGAATCCATTTATGCTGTGTGAAACCAGAATAGTAGATCCTGTTTAGAATGGATTCCCTCTCTCTTCATCAGCCTTTCTGACCAGATGTTTCAGAAGGATGGAACAGCAAAGGCTGAACTTTACATGCAACATCATCACTTAGTGGCACGCAGGTATTTCATTAATAGCTACAGCAAATTAGGACTTTGCTAACACTGCAATTTTACTGGGGAACTTGTATAACATACTGCCCACATACAGTATAAGTGCATAAGCCACTAATGTGAAAAAGTTATCTTCTGCAACAGAAAGACTGATAGGAAACAAAACTTCAGCTGTCAGCAATGGAAAGAAGTACATCCTAAAACATTTTTATATTGAACTTCTTGAAACTTAAGGCAAATTTCTCCTGTTAAGAAAGGAAAAAAAGGAGGAAAGCAACGAGCAATGAAACTACTTGAAAGGACCAGTTAAAAAGGGTGCAGTATAGCTAACCAGATAAAATGGTGCTTAAAAGACAAGTTTTAATCAGTCTCATAGGCAAATCAAAACACACGAAAATGATAGCACTTTTAAACTGTGAATGTGCTCCACAGTGAAGCTTTCCATATCTTTCCATAACTGCAAGTCACACCAAAACAAAGAAAAGTAAAACTGAATAACCCAGTTTAAAACTGCACCATACTGAAGCAGCAGAAATGCTTAAGGAGCAATATGATAAAAGAATATTAAAATCTCTTCAAATTGATCAGAAGCAGGCAGTCTGCAAAAGAGTTTGCAAGCCCAAGAAATGAACAAGTATGAAAGGAGCCTTTGAGAATTTGAAGGCTACATCACAAAAGCCAAATGAATGATTTGTCTGTGATAGAGACTACTTTCCCAAAGTTTTTAAAAGCTAGGGTTGAATGAACAAGGACCTGCCTGAAACATTTTAGAACAAATTTGTGGATCAGGACCAAGTCATTAGGATTTAATGGCACTTTTTAATCACCAACTGCACAGCATGAAGTTGAATGTAATGCTTCAAAAAAACTAAACAAGTCTCTGAAGGAGTCAGCACCTAAGCACAGAGGATGACTCAAAGGAACATGCTGTATTTTCAAAATCTTCAGATAGGTCCTCCAAGGGCATGACAGCTACCATGAAATAGAAGGGACCTTTAGTGTACTCCCGGGCCATTGATTCAGAAAGGAGAGGAACAAATAGCTAGTTTTCATAAGTGAAAAGATTTCAAAGCTCTCTTTTCAGCATCAATTGATGTGAAAAAAGCAAAATACTCAAAGCTAACCATGACTGCAGACTCCAAAAGATCTTGATTCTGACAAGATCCTCATCGACAGAACAACAGATGGAATTTAATGCCATTTATTGCACAACTAATGAATCTGGGATGGAAAACTCCAACCCTAATTCTAAGATAGCTTCTACTCTCTTCATTAAGTTCTAGAAGTATAGAAAGCTCACTGAAAACATCAGCCCAAGCTATCAAATGGAAACAAGCTTACTAGTTAAGGAAAACAGGAGACAGCATTTAGAAATTGTCTATGCTGAATACCATCAACTAGCGTTGAACCTAAGAGAAGCAAGATTAAGAAAACCTGTACAGGGCAGCATGGATCAGATATGAAACCACACTCACATAAGGCAAGGCTGAACAGACTAAAACTTAATCCTTGAGCATGACTGCAGAGGACAGAGGTCTACAACTGAGAAGGCTTGTAGGAAAATGATTCATTGTTTCTCTAACAGGAACTAGCAGTTGTCAGACAGGTTTAATATAAAGAAAAAGTACTTTTGTATGCCCTTCAAATTTCATTTTAGCTTTATTAAAACACAAGTCCAGAGGAAAAGAAACACTTCAGTAGGCCTAGCAGGCTACAAATATAATAGATCACTATTCACCCCATTTAGCAGATGTTTAAGCAAAGATAACCAGAAACACTTCCTGGCTAGATGGAGGTTAAATCTGACCAAGTATATAAAAGACAAAGTTTAGTCCTAAATCCACACAAACTCACTTTCCCATGTAGGCTGTGGGGACTGCCTGGCAGTTACTTCACACTGTATTTTATATTCTTGTTTGTGCATTCCAAGGAAGCATTGGCTAGTATAGTAATAGGATGCATATAAGTCACTCCATGTTAAGACCTACTACTGAGGAATAAATTTGATATTTACTTAGACATAAGCAACTGAAAAGCACATACAAGCTTTCAATCACTCAACAATATTGATCTTGCTCTTCAAGGATCTTCACACTGGTTGTTTTTTGGTTTTTTTTTTTTTTTTTTTTTTTTTACATGGAATACTGCAACATTTTCCTTTTTGTTTGAAATAGGCAGGTAATGGGATTCTTGCTAAGTAATAGTACTTGTTCTTTAAAGTTTGAGACAATATTTTGACTAGTTGGAGAACGTGAAAATAACATACAGCCTAATGAACTTAGAAGTTGGCCAGCTGGTCTTAAAGTTCTTCTGCATTCTAAAAAATTCAGAAAACCATGACCAGACATTCAGAATAAAAGATGAAGATTAAGAGGGACATTTTCAATGGATTTGCAAGTTCAAGATCAAATTTGCACATGGCAACAGAATGTTTCCGCATGACAATATAAAAGTATTCACATCCATGAGACAAAGCCTTCATGCAGGAAGTACCTAGATGAGAAAACTTGAGAACACACAAACTTCTGGTAGCATTCTCACATTTTATTTCAATTAATCTACACAGACATAGAAATAAATCACAGCAGTTTTTAAGAAATTTCAGTTTCAACAATGAGGTTCCTGTTTAAACACGATCATTGAAGATGTGGTTTTAGCCATTGCTTCTCTCAATTTCACTTTCAAGATAATATATTACAGTATTATGGAGTCATCTAGTATGAATCAGCCACTCAAATCATAAGCTGATGTTTAAATCAGTTCCAACCCTTTGTACATGCTGGTTTTCTCCCTGTAAAAAGTTTTATTTAATTTGCAGTCAGCATCGCACACACAAGAGTGGTAACTGGCCTAAGGTTGAGCTGTATGAACATGCTGCATGACACTAACCCGTAAGTCAGAGCCATTTCTCAATACAAATTTCTTCATTTGTACAGGACAGGATTTTTCCTTTCCCACATCATTAGCATGGATTCCATTCCAGAGGACCAGCCAGATTAAAGTAAATGGATCCAATAACTATTGTGACCATAAGCTTTCCTCAGATTTTTTCCAATTTAGATTGGCTAAATCTATATAAAGTTCTAACAATTTCCACACAGGTTTCCACCAGTCCAAACTAATTTTGGTTTTGTTTTTCTTTTTTTCTTTTTAGTTTTTAGGTAAGGAATAATTTAAACAGCTTTGGATTGTGTTCTATATCTAACCACTAACATCTGATAATCCTTTTTACACTACGTACCTGGAGACCAATCAATTTACAAGGAACTCTTTTCACTCAAGATATTTCACACAGGTTCATGAAGCATCAACACACTTGAGAAACCTGGAAAATAAGATTTACATGAAACTGACATCAAGACTCAGATAACATGATAATCAGATGACAGTTCAAAACCTACCTACAAGCTATTTTGAACACAATAGAGTTGATTTGGTAACTTCCCAAAGTTCAGTGGTTTCATGAATGTGTTCCTCTCAGCATGCTCCAAAGAAGAGTTTCAACCTCACCTCTGGGTTTGAGAGAGAACTTATATACCCCTCTGTGTTGGCCACTTAAGACACTGCCAGGCTTAAGAGGGCAAAGCATAAAAGGGGAGTAGGCTATAGCACCAATTTTGTCTTTTTAACTAAAATGATCTGAACTTACCATTTACTCAAAAGAGGTATTACAATTTACTTGAAATTTGTGAATTATAAAAAAGTAAGATTTAAAACGATCTGCAATTGTCATTACGCTAGAGCACACTTACCTTCTAGCAGAAGGTATTATTTGTTCCTAAGAAGTCCTGAGCATTGCTTCTAATTTAGGTGTGATCATCCATGTCTAGAATATTTCAAACATGAAATTGCTAAGTGGGACCCCTAAAGAGCACAAAAAAAGGCAAAAATTATTAAATTATAATATAATTTATATTACATCTAATTACAAACCTTCTTAAAGCCACATTCTACAAAGTTGCAGGAATCATTAACATAAAGATCCTTATCAAATCAAGACCTAGAACAAAAGGTAGTAAATGGTTCAATCTGTTAAAGATTCTTTTCTGACCAGCCCATTCAAACCACATAGAATATCTTTTTAACATCTTTTAAAATATACTGATAATCAGAAACAATGGAAAGTTTATTAAGCCTAAATTGCTTTTAGTGTTGACACTACCCTGACATAAACTGTAAATTTTTAGATTTAAGAGACTGATCTTTACCAGCCAATTCATTGCTACCTTGTGCCTACTTACATGTACCTCGTAACAAGTTGTACAGCACTCAACCAAGAGAGACAAAGGTCACTGTTAGAGGCATACTAGAAGACTGGGCCGAAAGCCTATGCAATCAGTGACTTTTCCTTGTTTGAAAAGTTAAGTCCGTTTGAACTTAAGTCCCTACAGCATTCAGCACCCTAAACACTGCAGGTTATAACTGTAGTTTTCTTGATGCAGCCTATAAAAAAAGAAACCACTACACTGAATCAGATTTAAGGTCTGTACACCCTTCTGCTGAAGGGTACAAACGTACAAAAAGACTTCTTTGTCTCACGGTGGTACAGGCCAGTACCCTCAGATGTTTGTCTTTAAGTGGTAGTCTCAGGATTCAAAGCCCTCCGTTTCTGAAGCCCAAAGCCTTATCTAACCAGCCCTAGGCTGAGGCATGCGATGAAGTCGGTGTGCCCCCTTACCTATAGGCGTTCAAAGGCACGACTCCCGATCTCCAGCACTTCCCACTGGCAAGGCCTACTGTGCTTTGCCTCCTGCCCACGCCGGGAGCAGCCGAGCGCGGCAGGCCCACCGACAAAGCCTTCGGGGGCATTTGAAGGCCTTGCCGGTACCTTGGGACGCTTCCTGCCGCCTTCTTCCCTGCCGGGCGGCCGCCATGGGGAGCGCGCGGCCCACGCCGCACGCTGCGGAGGGAAGAGAGAAGTCAGCCCGGAGCAGCGAGGGGGCCGGGGAGGGAGAAGGGACGGGGGGCGCATGTGCCTCACGACAGGATGCAGGGCGGAGGGGAACGGCTCCGCACTGGGTTTCTGTGAGGGAAAGGTGCTCTATCCCCCTGTGTTGACTCCCCGGAGCACTGCCAGGCTCCGAGAGGGCAAGATGTGAAGGGAAGACCCGAGCAGGTCCCATCCCCCCACCCCGCCCGTTAGGAGCCCAGGGCTCCTTGTGGCAGCGGCTGCAGCGGCCTTACCGCGAGAGA